ACTAAACAAAATGGAGATAGCCAACCTGTCAGATGTAGAGTTCAAAACACTGGTGATAAGGATACTCAGAGAACCCATTGAATATGGCCAAAGCATAAGGGAAGAAATGAAGGCTACACGAAGTGAAATAAAGAAAAATCCACAGGGAACCAAAGTGAAGGGAAGGAAGCCCGGGTTCAAATCAATGATTTGGAACACAAGGAAAAAATAAACATTCAACCAGAACAGAATAAAGAAATAAGAATTCAAAAAAAAATGAAGAGAATATAAGAAAACTTTGGGACATCTCCAAAAGCGCCAACATCCGAATCATAGAGATGCCAGAAGGAGAAGAAGAGCAAGAAATTGAAAACTTATTTGAAAAAATAATGAAAGAAAACTTCCCTAATTGGCAAAGGAAATAGACATACAAGTCCAGGAAGCACAGAGAGTCTCAAACAAGTTGGACCCAAAGAAGACCACACCAAGACACACGATAATTACATTACCCAAGATCTTAAATTTAAAAGCAGCAAGAGAAAAGCAGAGAGTTATGTACAAAGGAGTTCCCATAAGGCTATCAGCTGATTTTTCAAATTAAACCTTGCAGGCAAGAAGGGACTGGTAAGAGGTATTCAAAGTGATGAAGAGCAAGGACCTACAACCTAGATTACTCTGCAGCAAAGCTATCATTTAGAATGGAAGGGCAGATAAAGTGCCTCCCAGACAAGGTAAAGCTGCAGGAGTTCTTCACCACTAAGCAATTAATTACATGAAAGGTTAAAGGGACTTATTTAAGAAAAACAAGTGAAACTTATGAGTAGTAAAAGCACAACAAACTTACAAGTATCAACAACCGAATCTAAAAAAAAAAATAAGGAAACAACTAGATCATGAACAGATAATAAAAATGGAGATCATTTGTGGGTTTGTCAGCTGGGAAGGGGATGGAGGACAATGGAGGATTAGGTATATTAGGAGGATATAGGGAATAAGAAGCATAATTGTAGGTAGGTACAAAATAGACAGGAGGAGGTTAAGAACAGTATAGGAAATGGAAAAGCCAAAGAATTTATATGCACAACCCATGGACATGAACTAAGGTGGGTATTGCTGGAGGGAAAGGGGTTAGTAGGCAGAGGGGTGCAAAGAGGGGAAAATTGGGACAACTATAATGGCATAATCATTAAAATATACTTTAAAAATATTATATCAGATTATGTGTTTCATTATTACTATTTGGCGTAATTTTCCCATTACCGTTGTTATTCTCTCAAACATCCATCTATTTGAATTAGGTAAATTCTTTCTTACAGATAGAATTTAGTGAAATTAGTGTCAAAATTAATTTACATATAATACTTATGAGCATTTTAAAATTTATATAGAAGTTTATTTTAAATAATACTACCGAGCATTCACTGTTTTCTCGACACTGATCTGGGTGCTAATGATATAAGACACTTGCCTTCAAGCAGCTGATAGTCTTCAAAAGAAGGAAATACAGACAACAAAATGAGTAATTATACTGAGGAAGTACTGATACATGTAAGCTCGGGGCATTATAAGAACATAGAGCAGAGAATTGTAACCATCATGAAGGAGTTAGGGAGAAAATAAACTGAAACTGATACAATTTTCAGGAGGTGATGCATCTTGAGTTGAGCTTTGGAAGAACATAGAAATTAGTCAGAAAATGGACATTGAAGTTGTCCAGACACAGGGAATTTAGACGTTTATTTGTATAGATGATGCACTTCTATTAGCACACATTAGAAAATGGCTATGTGACTGTGGGCAAGTAACTTACCTCATGATATTGTTTTGCTCTTAAGAGAAATAATAGACTTCCAGTCCCACTGAAGGTGAATTTATAGGGATCAGAGTTACTCGTCCACCTGAAACAACCCCCCAAAAATGGACAAATTATTTGAAAAAAAAAAAAAACGGCTCTCAAGACAATGGACATCAAGCATGAAGAGCAGTGATTCCTGAGAAATTAGAAAAAAATGAGGTGAGGCCTTCCGGCTTAAGCCCTGGAGAAAGTTTCCAGGTCACGCCACAGGTAGGGAGAACACAGGCAGAGCCTGGGGGTCTCTTTGGGTTGAGAACATGGAGCTGCGAGACCAGGGAGGCCATGCGTCTGAAGTTCACAGGGCAGTGTCCCAGAGAGCGGTGAGCTACAGGAGGTCTGCAGTGCGCCCCCGTCGTGTATCCAGCAGCCTGTTCTTCAGTACACGTGTGTGAGGAAACATGATCCGCAGCTTGGAAAAGAACCACCTGATGTAATGGGAGGGGTCATTGCTTGTCGCTCAGACAGAGTGGCAAACAGTGCCTGTTCCCAATGAACTAGAAAATTTCATATATCATGGTGCTTCCTGTCAAGCACTAAAAATGTAGTGTTGGGAGTGGAGAAAACTAACTACAGACTTAGCACTGTTCTGGTCCTGCCTAACAAAGTAGGAATGGAAAGGCTCACACTGCTTCCAAGTGACTTAACTGTGTCCCAGAACGAAGATCAACACTATTTATGGAAATAAAAAAAAAATCTAGCCCTCAACAAAAGAAAATTCATGGTGTCTGACATATTTTTCTATGTCTTCAATATTTCTTAATTATTAAAAGTCTTTCCTTATGAAATACATAATACTTTCCCATGAAATGTGTTAACCAATAGAGTGCCTATCATTTTTCTTTTAAAGGACACTGCTTACTAGGACACTCTGAAATTATACTTCATAAGTTTTAGCATGTTTGGGACCTGCTTGTAAGAATGTCATTTTCTTCATGCCTTTCTACTTATGTTATACTGCACAAAGTATCATGTTTCAGTTGTGCGTAATATGTAGATGCAGAGGTCACAAACTGTCTTGGGATTGAACCTGTTTCTTAGAAATAGTGTTTGTTCCACACGGCATTGGTCTTCATGGTGACTTAAAGTCTCCCTGGCTGGTGTGGCTCAGTAGGCTGAGTGCGGGCTGCGAACCAAAGGGTCGCCAGTTCGATTCCCTGTCAGGGCACATTCCCGGGCCAGGTCCCCAGTAGAAGGTGTGCAGGAGGCAACCATACATTGATGTTTCTCTCTCTCTTTCTCCCTTCCTTTCCCTCTTTCTAAAAATAAATAAATAAAATCTTTATTTTTTAAAAAAAGATCTCATGAAAAATCAAGCAATCATGTAACCTCAGAGTTGCATCTCTGCGTGACTCCTTGGCATTGTTGGTGCCAAGTATCAGCTGCTTCCTTTGGCCGGGCCATGTGCTCCAGAGTTCTCCACAGTCTCCATGCTCCCTGATACTGATGTCAAGTGCCATTTGTCTTTTATCACCACAGATGTTTATATTAACTCTTTGGCCCCTACAGGCAGTTTAGTTTATAACTGCTAGAGAAATTATATTTAGTAGATGTCACAGTCTTCTATTGATATTTTTATTTGATGTCACATATTTTCAATACTTTATAAAGCACACTTACACAGACTTTCTCTACAGGCATGACATAAAGTACTTCTTTTGTTTGTCAGCTCCTCCTTCTCTCATATGCAAACAATAGTAATTGGTTTGGTACCAATTACTATTTCTCAAATCTAGTTCTTCCTGTCCAACCTTACTGCTACTGCTCCACCTCAGGCCTTCATTGTCTCTGGCCTGGAATTCTTCAGTTGCTCCCTAACTGTACCCCTTGCCTCCAATCACATCTCTTTCAGTTCATCCTCAAGGGTATTGCTAGAATGATGTATCATGGTACAGAGGTCATCTCATCACCCTACTGTTCAAATTCTTCTAAGTCTCTCCATCTTCTATGGCTCCGGTCAGTAAACTTTTCTTAAAGGTCCACATGGCAAATATTTTAGGCTTTGCCGGCATAAGTTTCCTGCACAAATAGTTGACTCTGCTGTTGTTGACTTGAGCACAAAAGCGACTATAGACAACATATAAGCAATGGGCATGGCTGTGTTCCAATAGAATTTATTCATAAAATAGCCCCTGTTCTGGGGTTACAGTTTGTTAACCCCTGTTCTGTGATATAAACGGCTCTCCCTTTCTTCCCTCCCATGTCATCTGTCACTCTCCCATCCTGTTTCCTGCAGTTTATTCAAGAACGCTATTCAAATTCTTAAACTTTTCTGAGAATGTCTTTCTGTATCCAATTATTTAATTCTTTTCATTTAAGCTGTTTTTTCACAAATAGTGAAATATTCTAATATATTTTGTTAGATGTTAATTTTCAAATGATGATTTCGTATATAAATATGAGGTTGTTTAGTCACTTGTGGACATTTTTACAAATGTGTTGTGCAGATGTATAATATTGAAAACAATTTTTAACAGGTCTTTCATAAAATTATAGCCTTGATACAATTCATGTTATCATTTGAATTCTATCAACACATTATCCAAAAATCTCAGAACAAGGTCACTGGTAGGAAAGCAGTTCAGTTTCAGCACTATCAACTATTGAATCAATTTATCGAGAGAACAATTTTAGGATTGTTAGTAGGAATGCAAAGCATATTAACTCACATTGTGTCCTGTCTTCGTCACAGTTGCTCCTTTCCAGTGCAGTTAAGAAAACAAAATAATTTGGTTTTAGGATATGTCTTGCCTGAAGTATTGGACTTCAAATTGCTATTTAAATTCTAATTGGTCACTTCACATATTCTCATATGCAAAGAGATAACATATTGAGAATATGTTGTTAAATGTGTGGGTTTTGCCTCATCAGGTTGCAGTTATTTAGGCTATTGCTGTTTGGTACAATGTTTGGAGAGTAAACAAAACCTTGTCCAGTAAAAAAATGAAAACATTTCTTACCATATTAATGAAAAGTGTGATTCAGTTACTGAGGTGAGAGAGCAGATTGGTAGAGCTGCTGTGATGGAATTTTGTTAAAATGTGAATAGATGTTAATATTGATTATGATAAAGTTCTCTCAATTCTCTGATATTCACATAACAATGCATTAATTTAAAGATCCATCTATTAAAACTGATCTGTAAATGTCTTTTATGGTTGATTTTTAGCCACCAGCTGAACAGGCCAAAGCCAGACTACAGTTGGTTCTCGAAGCTGCTGGTAAGTATTGATAATTAACTTTATTTAAATGAAAAAGTTTGAAATAAATCCTAGTATGGTTACAAGTGGGTCAAAAAGAAAAACACCTCTTTTCTTATATCCTCACAAATTTATGAGATCTAGATTATATATACAGTCATATTTTATTTTAACTATTTATTGTTGCAGTATAGTACTAAAAGGTCACTCTTTGTCTTTTCTGTTTATGAAGTTGACTTCATTTTGGTTTTAATTTTGATGAAGTCCAATTTATTGATCTTTATCTTTTATGGATGGTACTTTTGCTGACATAGTTAAGAATGTTTTTCCCTAATCTCATATCATGAAGACTTTCTCCTGCATTTTTCTCTAAATGTTTTATAGTCTTACATTTTTTAGATTTAAGTCTGTGATCTATTCCGAATTAGTATAAGATAATGAGCTTTAAGTTGAGGTTTTCATTGAGCTGAAGGAAGCAAGGTAAATACTGTTCTTTAATTCCTCCAATGAATTCATTGGTCCTTTTGTTCTGGATACCACCTAACCTTAAAATGCTGTCTATTGGTTTTATTTCTCAGTGATGCAATAATGCTATGACTTTGATTTTAGACATATACCCAGATTCCTGTAGACATTAAATACTTTACCTTTTTAAAAATACAAAGATAAAAACAATAAAAATATAAATCCATGTCATCTTTTCTAAGTACTGATTTTTACTTTGAACCTTAATGTGCTCTTCAAAAACGTATGTAACTTATATTCAAGTAGTAAGTTGGCAAGATCAGGTGTGAGGTAGGGTTAGGATAATGTCACCAGAGTAGTACATATTTTTAGAAATTATACTTTTTAAAGGCCTGTAAACAGGTCATAATTTCCAATTATAAAATAAGAATTTTGTTATACCATCAAAAGTAATTTCATACTACCAAATGACAGTGGTTGTATTTTTTTGTATTACTTGATTGAGAAAATATATATGTGCACATGATTTAAGGATTTCTTACATTTGCTCCTTGCATTCTGACTCAAAATGTCCACAGACTAAAGATTGGGAACACCAGTATAAATGATATACTAGCTTCATAAATCACTTACAGAAATTCCTTACTATAAAGGGCTAAAAATTTGTAACTATTTTGCCAGAGTCTCTATACCCCTGCCTATTACTTTAAATGTCACCTACATTTTATGCATTTTATCTTTTAGTAATGTAGAAAACACGACACATTAAAATTTTGTTACAGTGTTTTATACTATAGGATAAGGCTAGTCAGTGTGATTATCATTTACATAATCTACATTCATTCTTTAGTGGCACTATTTTGCTTTGAAATATATTTTTTAGTTCAGAATTTGAGTATTGACAATCATATTTTAAAGGAAAATATTTATGGTGCTTATCGGTCAGAAAATATTGGTTTCCATCAATATAACTATAAGAAATTTTCATAGTTTTATACATTTTCTTTTATTTCTCAGTCTTTTACTATGATTTTGAAGCACATTATAAAACAAACCTGGCAGTCCCGACCTCACAACGTGTGACTCGTTTCTGTCAGTCCCAGTTGTCATCCCTCAGTTTTAAAACTTTTACACTGTAAAATCTGTTAAGGATAAAGAGCTAGGTTCTGTGTATTTGAGAAATTTTCAAAATACTATGACAGTTTTCAAATTAAAAAATGTGTATTGGCTTGTAGCATTATTTATTAATTTCTTCTTATTGAATATGTTTCCTCCAGCTTTCCCCTTTTATCTCTAACACTATGATGTGCATCCTATTAAAAAATGTGGTTTTCTTAATTTAGATTATTTTCTTGGGATTGGTTGCTATAGAATGAGTTTATGTGGTTAGAGGGTATTAATCTTTAGAGTGGCTTTTTATACATTTTTGCTAAATTGTTCTACAAAAGAACTGTGCTGCTTCTCATTGCCACTATTTAAATAACCATTTTTACCACTTTCTTTTTGATGCCAGTTCCATATATTGCTTTATAATATGATATAATATATTATACCCTTTTGAAAAATATTCAGTACTGCCTCTAATGAGAACTTGTGGCCTGGAGAGGGGAAGCAGATGAATGGATAGGGGAGAAGCATATAAGCAAATATAGAACTTATTGTCAGAGTTCCAGATCTGTGTCAGTGATGAATTCAAGGTGTTCATTGTATTATTAAAAGTAAACAAATACAGAAGGAACTGGAGCTCAGTCTGGCAAGGCACGCAGTTAAAGTCTTGCCTAGTCCTAAGATGTAGGTGGATGGATAGGAAGGTTTGGAAGTCCCCATTCTGTCATACTGGAGTTTACTTGAGTTCCTAAGGAAAACACTTTTGACTTTGGGCCCTTGAACTGGATACAGGGAAAGACTTAAGGCTATAAGCTGGATTCTTGGGTACAGGGAAAGACTTAAGGCTGTGTGCTGGTCTGCAGGGTTCATGTATAGAATCCTGCTGATTAGGCTTAGCCTTTTACGCTAACCGTGAGTCCCAGAAGAAAGTTTTATATATAACCATTGCATTGTTATTGATTTATTAGTGAATGTTAATAATATTACTGCTTTGGAAGTAAAATATATTTGTAGATCATTTGGCAACAATTAGTAGTTACATGATTTTGAGAGAATAAAATAACATTAAGCAAAATATAACTGTAGGGTATTATGCATATTGTACCAAACATGAATTTGAAATCAGATTTTATTGTATTTGTAATTATATTTTATACGCACTAAACTTTATACTTTGTTATGCTAAATCTTCAGATTTAGATAGACTTTTTTAGGTTCATTGCCAAATTGCAATAGAAACCAAATTTTATGTCTCTTGTTTAACAGTTAAGGTTATATCTAAGGTTGCTTTTTAAATCTTCAAAATGCAGTAGGACACAGAAGGTTGCAAAATTGTATACATTTTTTAAAGTGAATCTAAGTTGTAAACTCAGCTAATGATTTATTCTATGATACCAACTAAATACAGTTACAAACTGTTTCTTCCATGATTTCTTCCTTTCCTTTTAAAAAATACTTTTATCATTTTCCTATTTAAGATTCCAGACCTTGCAATTTTTCTGACTTCTGTATAGTCAGTCAGTCAGTCAATCTGTGTAGACTCTTATTTTGAATATTTTTATCTTTATTCCTTTATTATCTTTTCCACTACCATCTCCTTAGTCCAGACACCCAACTTTTCACCCAAAGGCTAATCCATTACCTCCCAATTGGTCTCATGCTTCGGTTCTTCTCCAGAGAGATGGCAGTGAATAGCGGAAGGGTTCTAAAGCTGCTTCCCACGTACTCCTACTCTGTGACCTTGAGCAACTTGGTTAGCCCAAACAGGATTTTGTAAAAGGGGCATGACAGAAGTATATATCTTCTGGTTTACTATAGTTCTCTATTTTTTAAAAAGTAATTTATTGAGGTAAAATTTACATAATAAAAAATAAATCATAATTGTTTAATGTGGACAATTGTGTATGTATTTTATCTGTGCATTTAAAGTGGCATTAAATACATTTGCAGTGCTTTAGAACCACCACCTCTTTCTAGTTCTAAAACATTTGCATTGTTCCAAAATAAAACCTCTTATTATTGAGTAGTTTTCTCTCCACTCCCCTTCTCCCAGCTCCCAGTGACCACCAGTTGGCCCTTTTTCTCTATGAATGTATCTGTTCTGGGTACTTTATATAAATGGAATCTACGGCATATGACCTTGTGTGTTTGCCTTCTTTCACTTAGTGTAATGTTTTGGAGATTTAGCCATGTTGTAGCAGGTGTTAGTGCTCTATTTCTGTTGACGGCTGAGTGATACTCCATTGTGTTTATATGTAACGTTTGTTTATTCATTTACGTATTGATGAAAATATGGGTAATTTCCACCCACTGGTTATTGTGAGTAGCATTGCTATGAACATGTACTTTTTTTGAGTACCTGTTTGTAATTTGGGGGATATATTCCTAGGGTTGTATTTGTGGGATTATTTGGTAATTCTATGTTTAATTTTTGGAGAAACCACCAAACTTTTCCACAGCAACTAAACCACATTACTTTCTCATCAGCCATATGAGTACAGTCCCTAATGTCTCAACTTGACCATGTCACACATTTAAGTTACCTGTTTGAAAGTAGGATTAGGGACTTCTCTGCTAAAATATCCTCATCTGTATGGGGGAAGGTAAATAATTACCTTATAGGGTTGTTGTAAAGATATATATTATAATGTTTTAATATATAAAGTGCCTGGTCTCAACCCATTTGGTGGAAATGGCAGCCACCAGAATATTGCTTACTTCATATTGTTTTTTGTGAATACCACCGCTAGATGATTCTTTCTCAGCCACTATTTGGACATACCACCTCTTTCCTCAGAATCATTCATTGACTCTCAGGTCATGGATGTGGACAATGGTGTGGTGATTTGCGAGGGGAAGGGGGCTGGAGGAGGCAGAGGAGGGGGTATGAGGGGATAGATTGTGATGGACAGAGACTCCACTTGGGGTGGTGAGCAGATGGTACAGTGCACAGATGATGTGTTCTGGGGTCGTGGACCTGAAACCTGCATAATTTTGTTAACTAGTGTCACCCCAGTATATTCGATAAAAAGGAAATATTATCCATTGGCTCTCAGTTGCTTACAAAATCAATTTTATACTTCTATGCTTAAGGTTCCAGTGTTCTATATGGTGGATTGACAGACTGCTATCTTTATTTCTTAGAGTTAATTTCTGTACTTTTCCGCATTATTATTTGAGTTAGTCCTGTCTGTTTCTACCTGGGACTCTTTGCTCAGGATTTTATTGCTTCTAGAAATGTCTTCCTCCCATTCTCTTTCCCTCTCTCTTCAAACACTCAGGATGCATCTCAAATAAAATTTCCATGTGATTTTCCTGACCATTGCAGCACACGATCTTTCTCTCCTTGAATTCCTTTTGTACTTGTCTGTGCGTACTCTTCATGCTACTGTTTACGCACATGCTGCTGATATTAACATTCAGTTGTTTCATGAGTGCTGGACTTATTT